AAGACAAGAAACTGTATGCTAGAGCATTAAAGGGCCGGTTCCTGGGCGTCTCAGAAGAAGCCAAGGGATACAAACTATGGGTTGTCTATAAGAAAAACCACATGCTCGAGATGTGCTGTTTGACATAACCAATGTAACAAACATTATCAATCGGACCTTTGCCTTGTCCAACACGGAGCTCACAACTCAATTAGCTCCGCCAGAGACGCCCGGAGAAGTGGGAGAACAGCAGAGTGCATCGGACCAGGAGACTGCTGAAGCAGTGGGAGTTGCACCGATTGTGTCTTCAATGGAGCCCACTGGAGCAGTGGGAGCATCTAAAACGAAACGGAGCTCAGGGTTGATGAAAGCTTCAAAGCCCGTATCGCGGCCCGGTCGAGAGACCAAGCGGCCGAGCGGTATCAGGATTATCAGTGCTTCCAGGCAATCCTGAACAAAGCTAACGCGGAAGAGATCGTAGACAACAAAGTCTCCATAAAACAAACACCTCTCAGAGAAGCTCTACGTGGACCCCATAGGGAGCAATGGAAACAGACCCTATCGTTAGAGTACGACTCTTTCCTTGAGAATGAAACCTGGAGACTGGTGCCACTACGACCTGGCCGAAAAGCTCTATCATGCCATTGGGCGCTAGTAGTGAAATACAACGCTGACGGTACAGGCGAGCGGATCAAAGCACGCTTCGTTGTGCATGGTAACTACCAAGGATTTGGAGCTGACTGTGACGACGTAAAAACACCGGTAGCAAGATTTGAGTCCCTTCGCTTATTGTTAGCCATTGGGGCGATAATGGACTGCCATATCCATCAAATGGATGTCCATACTGCGTTTCTAAACGGTACCATGGAGGGAGAGCCTAAAATCTACATGAGACAGCCTCAATGACTTGCGAAGTGAGACCAAGAACATCTGGTCTGTGAGCTTCTAAAGAGCATCTATGGGTTAAAGTAGGCCCTCGGATTGTGTATAGAGGTCTTCATACCTTCTTGACTTCGATGAGGTTTGCTCGCTGCCAGAAAGAGTTCTGTATCTACGTGCAATAAGTGGGATATGAATGGTTTATTGTCGTGGTATATGTCGATGACCTCACAAGTATGTCTCGCAACGTGAAGCACATTAACGGACTTTAAGCCGGATTGTCAAAACGGCTCAAAATGAAAGATCTGGAAGAAATCCACCACAACCTCAAGATGGAAGTGCGCCGCAACAGAAATCAGCGTGTCATGATGATCTCACAACGCAAGTACATCACAAAGCTGATAGCTACGTACAACATGGTGAGCAGCACACCTGTACTAACCCCACAAGGATCGGGGCTGACGCTAAAAGGTGAGACAAACATGAGTGCCGAACAAATAGCAGCGCAGTGTTTTTATTACAGCGGCATAGCTGGATCACGCCAATACCTGGCTCGTGGAACACGACCTGACATTGTCAATGCGGTGAGAGAACTAAGCAAGTTCTTATCGCGCTACAATCGCACACCCTCCTCAAATACTTGAAAGTGTGGTGAAGTGCTTTCTCAAAAATAAGAGAATGGACCTAACAAGGGATCACTATTCCGAATTAGTGACAGTTTCAAGTGATTAGAGAGAATTTGGATCGCAAGGCAGGGACTCACGTTGCCCGAGGTGGATTAGCCAAGATAAGCGGCATCCCGTATAAGCCGACGATGGATCTGTAATAGATTACGTATGGGAAGGCAGGATCCACCAAGGGAAGACTCAGATCCACCCTCACCTGAGTTCACTTAAGGGGATATGGGTTATACTATGTACGGTCGGATCGAGTGTGGATCTTATGAAGGAATGATGGAAGGTGTCATCTGAAGGTGGATCTAGTATCAGCGACTAACGAGAAGTCAAGATCCACCACGATATGTCCCAGATCACATACTTCCGAGTCCAGATCCAAAGGGGTGAGGATCCCACACGGAGTGACATGGATCCAGGATATGGGGATGGTGGATGCAATGTATATCGAACTTTCGTGGGATGATGGAGATCACAGACGGTCGCAAGACAATGTGGGAAGAGATTGGAGAACTCAGATCAATGCTGAGTGTACACTTGCAGTGAGGTGGATCAAGGTGGCCTGCCGTGGATCCGGTGGATCCGATGATAATACAGCTGGGATGATGGGTCAAGGAGAGAAAGGACATGCAGCCGAGCCTGGTAGGGGATTTAGCAGGTAATCGTCATCAAAGGTAGAAATCCAGGCAGGTATAGGCATAAGTATCAATACAGTCCTCAATTTGCACAGTATCACGCAAGTGCCTTCCTGCCCTCAAGAATCGGAACTACATTGGCCGTACGAGCTCGGAGAAGGTTGGGAATTGCGAAACTAGTGTTTGTAGTGATAACTGGATAATACATTGGCCAGATCCTACATCCTAGTGAGATTTCCTTTGCACGTGCAGATCCGAAAGGTTAACCGGATTTACTACTTGGCCGGCGACACCTTAGAGGTTCTCAACTCTCAAGATCCCGTCACAGGAGGCGGAAAGTACAACGCAAAGGAAACGCAAAGGCAAGGGAACACACCCGCAAGGCAACCCTACGGCCAGATCCACGATCTAGGCCCTGGATACACTTAAGCTAAAATTATCGCTTAGGATCCAGAACCAACCACGGACGCAGAGTGAAAATTTTACCACTGCTCCTTCACCCTATCCCCACGTCTCGCCAAGACACTCAAGGTTTACCGCTTAAAAGCTTCGGAAGTTACCGAGAGAGCAAGATCCCGCCCTACCGACGGGTACACAAGGTGAGGAAAGTTCAGCAGAACACGGATCATCGGGGGACCCCCTCCGTTAGTCGGTGTCTGGGTGCAGTTGGTAAGTTGGATCCAGCAATCTCGCAGATTTTGCTGATCCCGCTACACCACAAAAGGGACGTCGACGAACGGGCTACTGCTCGATGGATATGAGAGCGGCGTGACTTACGAAGTGTACACAGACGCGAGATTCGCGTGTCAACCAAAAGAACGCAAATCCGTCACGGCTTTGTGATTAATATGGCTGGGACCAGCGTGCCGTGGTGTAGTAGCAAACATGGAGGAGTTTCTCTCTCACTGCTGAGGCAGAACTCATCGCAATAAGCGAAGGTTCCAAGGAGAGCGAGTGGATTTGGCATCTTCTAGGAAACATGGGATTTCCACAAAAGGGTGTGGTGCAAGTATGGTGCGACATCAATGCTACCATCAGCATCGTCCGAAACCCAGGAAACCATAAAGCCAACAAGCACATCGAAATACGGTATCTATTTACGAGAGATCAAGTGGAAGATGATCATCTCAAGATTACATGTTGTGCCACAATGGATATAAGGTGCTGCCAACAAAACAATTCCTAAAGCTTAGGAATATGCTAGGAGTGATGGGTCTAGAACTTACCCCTAGTACTTAGTGGGAGTGTTGGACAGCACGGTGATTAGACGTCGAGTCGCCAAAGGCGACGAACAGTCGGCCAGAGGCCGGACAGCTACTGAGCAGAATGATGTGTGACAAAACACATAATGCCTTCCACTAATTATTGCAATATAAAGTACTAGAATAAAATAGATTCTAGGCGCACGAGGATACAGTGCACCATCAGACGGAGACTGTCTGCCAACCAAACAGGAGTACGAGGAGGGTTCGGGGACAGAGGGAAGAGATGCCACCCAAGCCGAGTACGATATCACTTCTTCCTCTGCCTCAGACTGAGTACAAGACTAGAGAATAGGTAGTTTACAGTAAGGTAAATAAACTGTATTGAGAGCTACTCTACAGAGTTCAATTCAACACCCGTGCTGCCGTGTGTGTTGTTGAGCATTGCTGCAAGCTACGCGTTCGGTGCCGTACGTCTTACTGTCCGTGTCGCTGCCGCCCTGCTGATGAGATCTAAGGGCAGCTGGTGATCCCAGGCAAGGGTGAAACGAAACGCGAACTCGTGAACTTCGCGGTGCTACCGGGCATGTACGGCGACAAAATGGGATCTCCATGTCGCATGTGATGCTGAAGCATAGGTAACATACATCGGCATCAATCACTAGCACCGTATAATAGTGCTTGATGGTGTTTCCTTCATGCAGTTCTCTTTAGGCAGGGTAGTTCACCTGTTCAAAAGCCCATCTTGATGCGCAACAGGTGAGAGGCCATGGGACCGAAGTCTGGAAGCTGTGAAGCTCAACCTGTAATCAACTGGAATATATATCAATAAAAACATAGCTACCTAAGTAAAACTCTGAAATGCGAGCTAAATAAATTGTGTGGATTGTGAAAGTCGTTCATTAGTCAATCCCAATAAAAGCTTTTGCGAATCGTCTAAACCTAAGATCAGCAACCAGTTTCGTGTTTTTCTGAGCCCATTTCTATTTGAAGTCATATCTCGGTATTGCCAACTGGGTCAACATTCGTGTAACCTGATATTTGTGCGCTCAAACTTATGTATTCCACACAGCGAGTTAATGGAAAATAAAAAATGAAGATTCGACTGTTCTCTACAGTCGAACTAATCTTGTCAGCACGCTGTTGATCTCGCGTTCTGTATGGGAAGCAGGCGCAACTTTAAAACGGGTGCTCCTTTTACTTGAAGGCTGCCCGTATGCACCAGAATGGAGGTTCGAGCATATATATGTTGGGTTATCACGTGTTCCTGATGCAACAAAGCTGAAGTGAATTCCATTATCACCACTCTACAGGAAAGACAAACTTGCTTCGCTTCGGCCCAGCATTTTCACAAGAGAGTAGAAAATGGATGTTCAAACGGATGGATACTGGAAACCTCGTCCAGATTGCAATGTATAGTTGATCCACAGGAATATCATACCACAATGTTACCAACGTACCTGGTTTGAGGGATTTGTTTCCGGTAGTGGCTTGGGGACATCTGAGTGGATACATGTATCCACTCCACAATAATGTATGACAAAAGTCACGCGTTCTCTCGCCCCGCTTTTTTTATTTTTGTGTTTGAAACAGGATTGGATACATGTAGCGGTAACTATCGCCAATTCACTTTACTGCACCGCCACGTCCTCGATCGAGTTGTCGTAGCTCTTTTGGAGCCAGTTCACACGGAGTAAGCTCGAGAACGCGTCTATCGAGAGCTTGTCCACATTGTCCGAGAGCGCCACAGTGAAATTAAGCGTCTTGGTTTCGCTTCCCACCATCAGGAACGAGTTGGAGCTCCAGTAGCCGAGAACACCTGGCACCTCCACCTCCACGAATAATGCCGTGAAGTTCGTTGCCACAAGATCCACGCTAAATATGACGGTATTCTCGACCTTTGTCTTCTGAACAGACTGAGCGACCACGTCTCCCCAACCCAGATTGAGGTGCTTGAACGGTGCGAAGAAGTGCTGAGTGTCCTCGCAGGCCGCCGCATCGATCCCAGTGACGCTGCTGTTAGTGACACAGCGGACACCTAAGAAGCAAGATCTGCGGTGGCAGGACGTGGCGTCATGATCCAGCAGCGCGTCGATGTCCAGCTCTTCGACTGAGCGGCTCTCCTATGCAATCAAAAAAATTAGTTTGACGTACGTATTCACCGCATTCCCCATAGAATTCCCCACCAATGCTGCTATTGCAATTGCTTTGAGGCCGAAAGTCTTCACAAGACTACCGCACTTGGTTCGCCGAAGTTCAAACACGATGTCTACCTGCAGATCTTCGTTCACATCGCTCACGGCGTATACTTGCACAGCTTCGTTGTCTTTGCGTTCGAGAATGGAAATTATAAAAGGCGCAAACTCCCGCTTTGCCACGTAGTGTAAGCTCTTCCATCGACCGGAGTACTCGATGCTCGACCAACTACTGCCTTGCCAAACATCGTTCAGTTGCCAATACAGAATCCCCATTGTCATACCGAGCTCGATGCTCTTGCCACGTCGCCACGTCTGGATGGCAGTTTGGTAGCACAGCGATTGCTGGATCTGTGTCAGATACAGATACGCCTCGATGCGTTTGCTAATGCTGAAGCCAAAGGACATATCTTGGACAACAGACTCTTCGTCAAGCCACTTTTCGTTGCGAAAAGGGAATGGCACATGAAAGCGGCGCTGAAGCTGCGTGAGCATTTGAGTCGTACCGTTCTCATGTCTTTGGCGAAACTTTAAGATTTTCCAGAACGCTTGAAAAGAACCCCAATCTTCCTTCGAGCTGACGTCGTGTAGAGAAGCAGCTGAAGGCCAGCTCTGAAAGCCAAACTCTGAAACGAAGCGAGCTCGCGGGTACATTCGGTAGTCTTGACAGTCGCTATTGTAGTCGTAGAAGTGAACGTCACTGCAACAAAAGATAAACACAGAACTATCACGTCCAAGTTCGCTAATAGATAAGAAAATAAAAAACACTCACCCAAACGCGACTCCATTTGAGGGCCCCCATCGCTTGACGTAAGGATCGACCGAATACAAACCGTTAGACGGAGACGTATCGACGAATGGCCGACTGGAGTCCATAGCAACGATAGTTGGATGGATTAAGTCCACAAAGAGCTTGGTGAAGTCGACAACGGCGATATCGCGGTTGAACGGCGTTCCTGGTGGAAATATTGGTGCCTCAACAAACTGCTCCATCATATTTTCGTTCTCGTTGTTCCCGCCCCATATTGCAATGCTCGTGTATTTGCGAAGCCGGCTGATTTGAAAACCAACCTCCTTCAGCACGTTCTGCAGAAATGCAGAGTCGCGAGGGTACATTCCACACGCGAACATGAGTTCCTGCCACACGAGAATGCCCAGCCGATCGCATTCGGCGTAGAATAGGTCGGATTCATATCGACCGCCACCCCAAACACGAACCTGCCACGTGTCCCCGAAAGCGAAAAGTAACAATATGAGCAGGCATTTCCAATCAAGTGAGCTATCGTACCATGTTCATGTTCGCGGCGCGGACACTCCCCAGTAAATGACGAACAGTGGATGCCTTTGTACGGGTGGAGAACGAATCTGTCGGGATCCAATTCGCACCTTTGATGAAGATAGGAACACGATTAATTTTGAAGTAGAAAGTCTTTCCAGCCACATCGCCAGCAGTTGTGTCATCCTGAATCAGCTCCACTTGGCGAATACCGGTCTTGTGAGAAAGAGACGAGTTGAAGTCCGAGTTCCATGCGTCCACGCGAATGTCGTACAGATAGGGCTCGCCATACCCAGCAGGCCACCACAACTTTGGATTTTCCAATCGAGCCCTGCAGAAGTAAACCAAATCATCAATCTTAGCGATTAAAGGCCGGCGTCATTCTTGTCCCAGTGGTCTTCTTACAAAAGATCAATTGCCGCGTCCTCCTTCCAGTCCTTTGAAATCGTTGTAGTGATGGCACTCTCTTTCTTGTCGTTGATAAATAAATTAAACGTAACGTTTTCATGCGCGGCTTTCCCGCTATCCAGCGCCACACGTACAGTGACATCCACAACTGAGGCGTCTTCCTTTCCACGAGGAAAAACCTGCACCACCTGCAAGTCCTTCAGCTTCACCACCGCCTCTTCAAACTCGATATATGCTGCTCCAGCCATACCAGACGTGACGAATGCTGGCCCCCAGTCCCAACCAAAGTCCGAGCCAGCCTTGCGGACAAACGAGCGTCGCGTAGGCTCCGTCCACGTATTGAAGTTCTCCGTCGCTGGTACGAAGTACGGATACTCGTCCGCCTGATCTCTGGTGTACTGCAATACAGGTTGAAACGTTACTTGGATATGATTCACCCCCGGTAGGAGCACAGGTGCCGCGTCGATTCTGTACGGCACGAAGGAGTTCGCCGTGGTCGCCAGCTGCTTCCCATCCGTCCAGTGTCTCGAACACAAGCGTAGGCTTGGAGTTCACGTCGCTTGGCAATGTCACGTGCGTCTCGTACATCCACGTCTCCTGTGCCACCCACTGATATTCACGCTCATTGAAGCGGTAGTACGGATCGCCTATCACTCCAGCGTTCATCAAATGAATATGCGAGGTTCCGGGCACCGACGCATTGTCGACGCGGACAGAGCCATTAGCAGAGCGAAACGTCCATCGGTCGAGTGGGACGACGAGGGCATTCGAACCGGTGATAGTCGCTAATAGTGCGATGGAAGTCAAATACAGCTCCCGCATCTGTGGCCGACGGGGGGAGATTAGAGCTTTGTTGAGCACTTCAACCAGTTTACCTGATCATCTGCTTATGTGTACCACACAAGTGATACAGAACACCCAAAAATACACCGAGGTGGAATTCCAATACTGAAGCCAGCGCTCAGAGGTGAAGGAAGCTTGGCTCGAGGCGTTGCAATAAGCATATATACTAGACACCGAGAAGAAGTCCACTTCCATACAGACAAGAAGTATGGCGACACGAGACGTGACGCGTCAGTTCCTGCAGCTGCGCGCGGAGGAGAAGGCCAAAGTTCTGCGACGGAAGAATATCGTGAGCCATCGTGAAGAGGGCAACGCGCTGATAAAGAGCGCAGACCAGGAATCCACCAGCGTTGCCATCGCTCCCGGGTGGGTGGACGTCGTCAATGGCACCAATCAGCACGTGGCGCGTATCAAGGAGATGAGTACGTGGCAGGAGGTGGCGAAACTGGGGGAGGAGAACGAAGGGGGCTGATCTATGACATTTATTATTGTCGATGCTGCAGTGGAGAAGCTCAATAAGCTACATACGAGCCGCCTGATGGTGCGCTTCGACGGTCAAGAGTCAAAGTATGAGCGTGAGATCGACCAGTTAACGCAGGACATCACGGACGAGTTCCGCAGTGCTGAGAAGGGGTTACGGCGTATGGCACAGAGTGACCGGGATGGAGAGTTCTCGGCCGCTGACGCGAAGACTAGGCAGAACGTACAGAGGTGCATTAGCAGGAGGTCAAGTGCTGGCTGAAGAAGAGTCGTTGTGGCTAATTCTTTAAATGTTGAACAGAGCACTGGCAACGCAGCTCCAGACGCTGTCGGGCGACTTCCGAAAGTCACAAAAGACGTACCTCGCACGTGTGAAGAACCAGAAAGAAGGCCCCGTAGAGTTTGACTTCCTAGCAGAAAATGACGCTAAGCAGAAACGACGTGGTGGAGCGGACACGGTGCGTTACTGAAAAGATTGAATTATCTCTCTCTCTCTCTCTCGCTTCGCTTGCGCTCGGCTGGTACATGTTGACTTTGCAACCTAACACAACCTCCTTGTCCTTGCGCTGCTTTAGGGATTCACACAGGCTCAGATCACGGAGGTGGAGATCGCTGAGGACGTCATCAACGAGCGCGACCAAGAGATTCAACGCATCGCCACGTCCATCACGGAGTTGGCTACAATATTTAAGGAATTAGCTGTGCTTGTGATCGACCAGGGTACAATCTTGGATCGCATCGACTACAACATGGAGCAGGTGGTGGAGCAGACCGAGAAAGGTATCGAGGAATTGGAAAAAGCAGAGGAGACGCAGAAGAACAGTCGCCCAATGAAGTGCATCGGACTGCTGCTCGTCCTCATCTTCGCCATGACATTGCTGCTAGTACTCAAACACTCGTAGAAGACACTTTGGTGGACAGATGTGTATCGCCCTCTAAAAATCAATCTCAACCACAAAATATTCTTACGTAATCCGCCACATTTGCTGGTCGAACATGGATGCCGAGCTGAAGCAGCAGCAGGCGCTCATGCGCTCGCTGCGCGAGTTTGTAGACACTCTACGAGACATCAAGCAGGCGAAAAGCACTGCCGACATGAATAGCAGCATTGTGGAGGCTGTGCGTGAGCTCTGCGGGTCTTCCGAGACAGAGAACGGCGGCCAGTGGCATGACAAAGCCTGGCGACGCGGCCTCGTGCCAACGTTTCAGCGTTTGTGCCTCTGTATGACACGCCTGGACCAACTAGAGGCGCAAGAAAGCAAACAAATGGGGCCACTGACGCCCCGGCAAGCAGAAAATCCTAAGGCGCCGGCAGGTCTGTTAAGTTTGCGAGATTATTCGGTGCTGCAGGCGGCTGTGGAGCTGCTGTTCTGCTGGGGCGCGTACCCTCGCGCGACTGCTGGAGTACTGATGCCAATTGAGAAGAGGAGACCCACGCGCACGTTAGAGAGTAGGACATTCGGCTTTTATGACGAGTTGGAAGGTGGTTGGCTAACTTTGTCATCGTGTGGATGCAGTTTCCAAGGACATATTGCTGTGGGGATATCGTGGATACACTCGCGTTGTAGCTGATGCTGAGCTAAGGAATGAGGAGACGACGACTGAGCTACTGGAAGTCACGCAGGCATTGTTGCAGCTGCTGTCGTTGCCACAGTTCCAGCCGATCCTGTTACCTAAATACGTGGTGGAGTTGCTAGCTCTGCTAGTATATGGAGAAGTTGCGATAAATACGGAAGCGCCTACGTCGGTACAGAAAGAGTTTATCCGACTACGCGAGATGGTACTGAGGGTCTTGCCGCTGCGTATGAGCATGAGCAGTCTGCGCGCAGCACTCGGCCAGACTGCACCCGCAGTGAATGAAGAGGCGGTAGGTCAGCGGTTCAAGGAGCGCTGTGGACACTTATTGTCCCAGCTACTGATGGAAGATGGAGGAATCGTGGCTACCATTGAGATGTTGCTTGGAGCTGTGGAAGAAGGAAACACACAAGCTAGAATGCAAGTTGCTACACTAATTTGTCAGTGTCCTAGTGGTGAGGACCCTGAAAAGTATGCGACCGCTTTGTGCGCGCAAGTACGTGAACTGCTACTTGCGGCAGTGACTCCTGAAAAGGGAAATACGAGCAGCAAACTACTGGGTGAAATGGCTGCACTGCTGACGGATCAGGTGGCCACTCGCCACCCGGTACTTTTCGACGCGCAGATCTTGTCGGTACTATTCCGCCCATTGCTGATCTACGATGATAGTCGCTCTGACGCGAGTACATCAGAGGGAGATACACACGAAGAGGCTTTGAGTCGCTGCGTAGGCATTGCACGACTTCTTCTTTGTGGGCCACCACCTTCTCAACGGTTTTTACAAGCTCTAGCACCGCTTGTACGTCCACTCCTGCATATGTACGCTTTTGCAGCAACTAGCAAGAGTTTTCTGGCAGATCCGCTTCGTGCGCTACTCACAGCTTGGATTCGCTCGTGCTCAAACGCGCCATTGCTCCTCCAAGTGGCTGTACTTCCTGTTACGCTACCTCTTCGGCCCACTCTATTAGTTTGCGGATATGAACGGAACTATACCCAAGAATCATGGAGACCACGACGAGAGTTTTGTGCAGGGGGAGGTGGTGGCGTCTCCCTTCGACTAGTGAAGTCTTATACCTCTGTTGTAGGTGAGGAACGTGACACTACCGAGTCACTGAAAGCATTAATAATGCCACTGGTGGAACTTCTAAGTGACAAGGAGCTGGAAAACTCTGAAGTGGTGGGAGACCTCTTTTCCTCGCTGTTGTTGACCTATATGCGGGTGAGGAAACTCGGCGCCACAGAGGCCATTGATCTAAATGTCAATGACGAGACCACACTATCTCCATTCGCATCATATGAGCCACTGAAAACCCCTACAAGCGCCGAAGGTATTGAGATGGTTCTGATGTTGCTATTGGCACTTATCGAATGCTTGGGACCCTCGGTGCTGCGTAGTGCTGCAACAGTTCTGCAGTGTATTGGGACGGTGTTAGAGACATACAATACACCTGCAACAAAGCTTGTGGATATGGAGCAGCAGGGTGGGAGCGCTGTACAAATGACGTCAGACGACGGAGAAGAAGGAGACGAGATCCTAACGATTTGTTTAGGCGTGGTGGTGACGATTCTCGAGGCAGGCTCGTCTCATCGCACTGACGCAGAGGAGCAGCAACTTTGTGCAATGCTTCCTGTACTTGAAGTTTTATCCGGCCATCCACGACCTGAAGTTGCTGAGTTTGCAAGCAATGCACGTGCACAGATCTTAAGTCGAGGTGTGACAGAGGAGACTGATGTAAAGACAACTGGAGCGAGCGAACAGAGTTTTGAAAAAGTTTTCCGTAAGGCAGAGCAAGATCTATCGAGTCAACTGGTACCGCTGCGTGCGCGTGGTGTTGTTACGTTGACGAGACTTGTACGTCGGAGTCTTTCGCACGCACACGAAGCAGAGTGGACACCACGAGTTCACTCGTTAGCTCAAGTTTTCCTGCTACATTTACACGACTCAGAGAGCTATGTGTTTCTCGCGGCAGTCCAAGGTCTGGCAGCATTGGCAGACGCGCATCCCGCTGCAGCCATTCCTGCATTGGTGAAGGCATTACAAAACCCTCAAAACTCTATGGAATCTCGCATTAAGCTCAGTGAAGCGTTGCTGTTCTCAGCCAAACGGTGTGGCGAGACGCTTCCCCAGTACGGGAAGCTGTTCGTATATGCTTACTTGGATTGCATCCGCCCACCGCCTTCCCAGAAGAAACGTGTGGAGCGCATCCACAAAGAAGTGACCAAGCGCGTTCAGCTTATCCAAGAGATTCAGGACGATGAAGAGCAAGCGACAGCGTTAGACGAGTCACAGGATGAGCCAGAGAATGAGCAGGAGCTTCTTGCAGCCGCGACACTACGAGCTAGCTGTCTATCGAACTTAGCAGAAGTGTGTGCACTGCTACAGTGGGGACTGCAGCCATTCCTGCGCGACGTGCTCACTTGTGTTTTCGGGGTTCTTCAGCTGGAGCTGGAGCTGGACGCAAAGCGTTGTCCAAAACCCGGATCTAACGACACTACTGGGGGCAATGAGCAACATAAGCTACTAAAGCATCACGAAAAAGAGCAGCAACAGCGCGTAGTAGCGGTGCGACGAGGAGCTGTCTTTGTGCTGCGTTATCTCATAGAGCTACTCGGCTGGAAGATACTGGAGCTGATGCCGGATCAGTTATCTCCACTGTTCCGTACACTCAAGCACGTGGGCCGTGTCGACCAGGATCGGGTCGTCATATTCCATACCAACCGCGCTTTAAGAGCTCTGAATGAAGTCATGCGAGCCGAGCTCTTTCCACGCGTGGAGCAGCAGGATGCGGTCTACGGTATCTCGAGATTACGCATTGTGTAGTGTAATCGCCCGTATAGCGGTAGACTGAAAATACTGAACGAATCATTTTGGTGGATAATCAACCCTTTACAGCTGTACAGTACCAATAATGGAGTGGTATTTACCACAGTGTACCCTATTCTATCAGCTAGAAATGATTTAAAAAAGTCGTCTGCCATTTTACCTCTGAAAGTATATAAACTGTGCAACACCTCCACTTATTCAGGGGGACTTCTGTGTAATGAACTTTCAGCTTTTTAAAGAGCATCTCTACCGGTGTTCGAGTTTTTCTGGTTTATTACAGTAATAAAAGACTATCATTGCAGTTCTCTACACTACTCATTGCTACTAGCTGAGGAAGTATTTCCGTGGGTGGCACATTGAAGCTCTCCATTGCGAGCTCTATTAATGCTTATTAATAATAAGCCACAGGCTGTTCGATGAACAACATGTATCAACGTCTCCACAAGCCAATCGTAGCGTCAGAAGGATCTCTGTCACCAATGTGCTCTTGACGCCTTCTTATCCTCGTACGTGTAATGCGAAGCGGAATCAGGTTTGAAAGCTGGTGCAGCCAACCTTAACGTGCATTGCTGCATTGTTCGTCAATGAGCTAACTATGCTTTACGCGCCCGTGAGAGCTAAAACATATGTATAGGGTCACTGTCGCTTTCTCGGTACATTTGCGTCGTCGTGCTGACTTACTGTGCTTACGCTTCAGGTGTATCAGTCTATATGACCAGGCGCGTCACTAACTCGGCAGTGGTCATACCGCAGAGATACAGGCTAGCTGACCGCGCGCGGCGGGTACACCTTATAACCATCCCAGCTCTGATGACCCAAAGTAATGAAATTAAAAATAATCGATTTAGGTACACATGGGCTCATCGTTTTTTTTTAGTTATCCCGCCGAAGCGTAGCGCAGGCGGGAGGGCCAAAGCAAGTAGAGCTAAACCTAAATTACCGCCGCGTTAGCGGCGGCGCTCGGCTAGTACGTAATTATGTAAGCATAAACATGAATGTGGATGTATGAGCCCCCACGATTGGAGTAGCACTTGTACAGTATTCTAATGCAGGCAAAAGGAACCTCAAGTAAAGTACAGCGGTTGGCAGTACATCGCTCGACGCTGGCCGTTATATGTTATGTAGTACCCAGGAGCTCCCCACGTCACGCTTTGCCCAAAAGTGGATATTTGTGGGATAATTTCTCCAGATGATAGACGCGCAGGGGGTCTTTGCTGCCACGTAGTGGCACTGCTAAAGCCCATGGATGCCACTTTCCTCCCTACATCTGCCATGAAATGTTTGCGCTTTTGTTGATCGTCGTCGTCGGCAGACGCGAGTTTAATCTCGCCTGCCTGCTCCCGTTGAATCCCCTCATCAGCCTGCTGGCTGGGCTCAATGACTGGGTATTTAAACGCCATGGACTCTTCTGTGTCATCGCAAAATCCCTCGGGGGAAGCTGTGGAGTCAAAAGCGTTGTAACCCAAATGCATTTCCGTGCCCGCCGACTCGGGCCAGTAGCCGTCGTCAAAATGGTTCGGGGTCTGAGCCTGTTGTTGTTTCTGCCGCCAATTAGCGGGGATTTTGCGAGTACGGTCTTCCTCCACATCAAGGGCCTCGATCCTGGATACGGGCAATGCAGCCTGCTGTCCGCGACAAAGACGTCTATGGCGTGCACGAAATCTCTCGACCTCCAATAATTCTCGACTGAAATTGGGACCGCTGGAAAGCGAAGGCGGTGTCGACATGAACTGAAACATGGTTGTCTTTTTGGAATGATGAAGGACACTGACTTGTGCTGGATACTGGTAAATGAGAAGTGAGGGTGGACGATAAATGCCTTATTCTTGGGATAAGCTTTAGCTCAAAATGAAGTTGAAGCGTGACAATGCATTTTTTCAGCCAATCGCAGAGGATTTCACCGAAGCGTCAGTCCTCAACTGCGTTTAATTGTATCTCGACCAATTTGAACAGGGCACTAAAGTACGGTACTGCGTACAGGCACATCGACTTGCCACATCCTCTTTATTGGTCTGCATTACCGCACACGTGCTCGTGTCTACGTAGACAGCAACGTATTCGTCGCGTGTAGTGCTCCCTTAATACTGTAGTTTCAATTTGTGAGCGCACATTAGTGAAATATACGCAGTAAACGTTGACAATACAGATAGCGTGGTCTTGCCTTAGCGAGTGTACGTGTATGCAGATAGAAACGGTCATATTGCAAGGGTACACAGTAGATACCATGCGCTAATTATTATATGAAACGCGTTTCGCTCTATAGGTGCGTCACCACTATTGGCAGCGCCATAGTCAGCTTACCGTTTGTGCCGCTCCAAGCCTCGCACTGTCAGCCAATATACGAAATAGAAAGATAGGTAGAAAATGGAGGCCTGAAAGAGTACATTGACCAATTACTTGCTCATCTGCTGCTTTATTCGCTCGATGTACTTGGCGTTTTGGGCAATCAGCTTGCGAGGACGGCTGCGCCTCTTTTTCTTCTCGGGGTACCAGTCAGGACCCATCGCCTTCTTGACGTTTGACAGGCTTTCCTTGCGACGCACTTCGGCCGAACCAGGTGGTGGGGGCTTTTCCTCCCAGAACCCAACCGCTTTTGGGCCGTTCTCGCAAGCAATACAGCGCCGCACGATGTCCCGCCCGCAGATTGTACGGAATGCGTAACCACTGCAGCTTCCCGCAACCGACGCAGCGCGCCCGGGCATCCGTCGTAGACCGCTGCGGGCTCAGCAGAAGCGGGTCAATCTTCGCCTCGCATTGCTTGCACGTAGGGCCCACCAGTATGTTAGCAAAATATATTGTTTTAACCAATAGCTTGCGTCCAAATATTAGCCAATAGCACGGTACTGTAAGGCTGGTATTTATTATTAGGCAAAAAATAAAAATGTTTATAATATTACTATTTGGTTTTGCTATAATATATTATTATCAGATTTCCAAACAAGTCCTTCCTTACATACAATACAAATTGACTAAAAAAACTATCTATCGTGCGCGCATGCATTCGTCGGGTGCGGTGCACGGGAGCAGATAGCGCAATGACCGTGCAGCCGCGCACCGTGGCAGTGGTGAGTGCCAGGTGAAGTTTAAAGATCGCAAAGTCCCTACAAAACGCGCTGGTCGTGAAGCCTACTTTAATTTTAAAAAAATACTATCGTCTCTACTTTAGAAAGTCTGTGGGAAATAGCATCGCCGAGCTCTTACAAATGCGGCCTGTGAAGCTTCTATTAATAATATTAATACTATTAATATCGTCTTTACTTCGAAAAGTGTGTGGAAAATAACATCCCAGAGCTCTTACAAAATACTGTGTGAAGTCTACATTAAAAATAATAAATATCTCTATTGCAGAGCTCTTAGAAAATAAAGTGGTTTCTGTGCCCGATTTGCAGTACATACGACAGGTTTTGTGTAGCTAAATGTCAATAATCGCTTCCAAGACTTGCTCTTCGTCCGCGTCTTCTTCGTAAATCCTCGCCGACGTCGCGAACGTGAACAGCTGGAGGTACGTCAGCTCATCCCTCTCTTGAATCATCGGCGCCTTGCTCATCACCATGCATTACTCGTCTTGTTTCTTAGGAGTCTTTTCGGTACTGAGAGAATTTCGCTAACTTAATAATATACGTCCAGCCGGGCGAGCTGCGAAGATAATTAATCAATAATTAATTATCTGCGCAGCTCGCCCGGCTGTTTGCAACCACTCGATGCGTTTCGTGCTCGGCAGAAATGTTACCTTATGTTTAATCGCGAGGGCGAGAGACGGTCTGATCGTGCGACAGATCCAGTCAGTGTCACAGGTCGGCAGGTATGCCCAATCAGAGCGCGAGTTAATTGTGTGACGCTTTTGGATATATTTGTAATTTTTGCATAGCTAGGTCGAGTCAGAAAGATAGGCGCGGTCGTTAAGATGGGAGGAAACTGTATTAGACAGGCCGACTGTAGCCATGCGAAAAGGCAGGAAAAAGCAGCAAGAAAGGAAAACGACGGACAGACAGACGGACGGACAGGTTACAAGGTTAGGAGGCGGGAAACTAGCGCTCTGGGCGCCCGCTCCGCGGACGCTAGGGCATGGTTGTTTGGTGTAGAGAGGGTTGACCACCTCCGCTGCACTGCGGTGGGCTTAGAGTTTCTACTCAGCGCAAAGCTACACGTAATAAATGCATACTGTGCTATACTTATGTAACGTTCCAAAACAACTCCGCATACAATAACCTTAGTGTTCACATGTTATGGTAGACATGACCAGGATTTAACGTGATCTGCCAGATGAGCACCATCTTACCCGGGAAGATTTTGTCTATAATCTCATTTGAGAGCATAGCTCCCAAAATGACACCAATCGGAGGCGCGCGTGATTTCAAAGCTTGCATATGCTGTTCGGAAGACGTGTCAGTATCAATGATAATCCAAATTGGCATATATCGGTGAGCAATCCCAGTGAAGCTGGAGAAAATACACCTACTCAAACCTAATGCCATCAGTCACGTCATCGCCGTGAGGCAGTCGACACCATATCTTTGATTGCGACGATCTATTAGAGCAAGGTTTGGTCAGCTTCTCGCGCGAAGTATCGTTTAGGACAGATAGGTTTTGCCGATGGTCGCCACAAATACCGATAGTATGCATTGAAACTGTTCCGCTGAGCTTTTTATTATATTACTGAAGGGTATTTCCACTATCTTTCGCATGCATTGATCTTACTTGCATAGCTGACGCACCTACAAACTTATTTGCATAGATACTGACCGACAGAGTGGCGTAGATCCTTATCGAGTGGCATTTACTGGCTCCTATATGTATGCCAAACACGCAAAGCCACATGGCTGTAGACAGAGTATCATATTGTAGTGATGTTTAGCCTAAATTTAGAAAGTAGCTCATGTACAATATATGAAGTATTTTTGCTGCCTGCTTATCAACTCGGTTTGCCATTTGATGTGTCCGTGCATATAGTGCGAGGTCGTTAATGAGTGTGTATAACACGCGCCCGTGAGAGCCAAAACATATATATAGGGTCACTGTCGCTTTCTCGGTACATTTGCGTCATCGTGCTGACTTACTGTGCTTACGCTTCAGATGTATCAGTCTATATGACCAGGCGCGTCACTAACTCGGCAGTGGTCATACCGCAGAGATACAGGCTAGCTAGCTGACCGCGCGTCTGCTAGCAGATATATACGCGCGCGGCGGTTACACCTTATAACCATCCCAGCTCTGATCTCGACCAATTTGAACAGGGCACTAAAGTACGGTACTGCGTACAGGCACATCGACTTGCCACATCCTCTGTATTGGTCTGCATTACCGCACACGTGCTCGTGTCTACGTAGACAGCAACGTATTCGTCGCGTGTAGTGCTCCCTTAATACTGTAGTTTCAATTTGTGAGCGCACATTAGTGAAATATACGCAGTAAACGTTGACAATACAGATAGCGTGGTCTTGCCTTCGCGAGTGTACGTGTATGCAGATAGAAACGGTCAGATTGCAAGGGTACACAGTAGATACCATGCGCTAATTATTATATGAAACGCGTTTCGCTCTATAGGTGCGTCACCACTATTGGCAGCGCCATAGTCAGCTTACCGTTTGTGCCGCTCCAAGCCTCGCACTGTCAGCCAATATACGAAATAGAAAGATAGGTAGAAAATGGAGGCCTGAAAGAGTACATTGACCAATTACTTGCTCATCTGCTGCTTCTTTCGCTCGATGTACTTGGCGTTTTGGGCGGTCAGCTTGCGAGGACGGCTGCGCCTCTTTTTCTTCTCGGGGTACCAGTCAGGACCCATCGCCTTCTTGACGTTTGACAGGCTTTCCTTGCGACGCACTTCGGCCGAACCAGGTGGTGGGGGCTTTTCCTCCCAGAACTCAACCGCTTTTGGGCCGTTCTCGCAAGCAATACAGCGCCGCACGATGTCCCGCCCGCAGATTGTACGGAATGCGTAGCCACTGCAGCTTCCCGCAACCGACGCAGCGCGCCCGGTCATCCGTCGTAGACCGCTGCGGGCTCAGCAGAAGCGGGTCAATCTTCGCCTCGCATTGCTTGCACGTAGGGCCCACCAGTATGTTAGCAAAATATATTGTTTTAACCAATAGCTTGCGTCCAAATATTAGCCAATAGCACGGTACTGTAAGGCTGGTATTTATTATTAGGCAAAAAATAAAAATGTTTATAATATTACTATTTGGTTTTGCTATAATATATTATTATCAGATTTCCAAACAAGTCCTTCCTTACATACAATACAAATGGACTAAAAAAACTATCTATCGTGCGCGCATGCATTCGTCGGGTGCGGTGCACGGGAGCAGATAGCGCAATGACCGTGCAGCCGCGCACCGTGGCAGTGGTGAGTGCCAGGTGAAGTTTAAAGATCGCAAAGTCCCTACAAAACGCGCTGGTCGTGAAGCCTACTTTAATTTTAAAAAAATACTATCGTCTCTACTTTAGAAAGTCTGTGGGAAATAGCATCGCCGAGCTCTTACAAATGCGGCCTGTGAAGCTTCTATTAATAATATTAATACTATTAATATCGTCTTTACTTCGAAAAGTGTGTGGAAAATAACATCCCAGAGCTCTTACAAAATACTGTGTGAAGTCTACATTAAAAATAATAAATATCTCTATTGCAGAGCTCTTAGAAAATAAAGTGGTTTCTGTGCCCGATTTGCAGTACATACGACAGGTTTTGTGTAGCTAAATGTCAATAATCGCTTCCAAGACTTGCTCT